TCCGAAGTCACGTCCATATCCTTTTTGCGGTGTTCTTGCTATGCAAATGGGCCGAGGGATTCCTTGGCTGCCGATGTACAGAACATATATACATTCACACAGTCGAGTGAGGTTCCACAAGACAAATAGTAATGAAGTCGTGGCTGCTGGGACAACAACTGCACTAGACGCCGAGATGGATTTGCACATTGTGTTGTCCTATAAACGATCGAAGCATAGAGAATCCACTACGTAGCCAGGCTTGCACTGAGAGTTGGGACAGGTTCGTTTCTGGCAAAGTTAACAACACTTTGGGCAGCTGGCCTCAGGACTGAAGGGTTTAGAGGTGAGCGCTCAAATAAAACTGATCAATGCCCTGTTGAGCCCCGATCAGTTTCAGGATGCTACAAGAGTACAGTGCGATACATATGCAATGTCGATCAGGCTTCACAACTACGGGTTCCTAAAAAAAACACAGGCTTCGCAGTGGATTCCACACGATAATTACATATGTACAGAAGCAACTAGACATCTCAACACACTTCTTGTACCAGAGCTGCGGCTGATAGCTTGTTCCTTACGACAGTCTGATAACATATAATATATACACATGAAGTGTGTGTATATATATATATATATAGGATGATTAGGCCAAGAGATTTCCCAGGTGCAGATACACATGAAGACGTACATTATTCGTGCTTAGGAATCTGTCTTCACCAAACGACATAAAGACTTGGCCACCCCGCACACAGTATGCGAACCGAGAACCACACACATGTAAACACATACAGCACACCTGATCTCGATCGAACGATTACAACACCCCCAGACATGAAATCTATTAGCTGTCGTCAGGCATAATTAGCCAATTAGTTGTGAAGCAACCAGAAACTGAAAGCTTCATGACAAGGGCTCAGAGCGATGGCAGGTCAGCAAGTCCAACAGCTCGTCGTCTGTCGTCTCGTCACTAGGAGTCGACATTCCACAGCAGAATGATGCAAGGACAACTACATGACCAAGTATGCATGCAGATACCAGTATATCGAACTTATACATGTGGCTACCATGTATATATTCATGTATTTCGAATATTTACACACATTTGAAAGCCATACGTACTTATGTAACTTATGTACACGTACCCAGCACACATAGGCCAATATGATTGCAGATGCATTGCACGAAGTATCACTATTGTAACTACATATAGGCAACACCTGCAGGCACTACACACACACACAGGATCTCGGCTGAATGCAAAGGGAGCATCACAGCGGCTTGAACGATGATATGGGCTGTGAGGGAGCCTTGTCAGGAAACCAGTAGGCCTCGCTTGAATCAACTGGGGCATGTGTCCCAATCACGGATGTTAAATGATTTCACTAGAGTTGCCAACATCGTGATTACGTTGTTACCAGCTCTCTCTGGATTTAGGCTCGGCTGATTGTACACAGAGACTGTTGGCAGTCATAGTTCATTCATCTCACTCGCCCCTTTCTCTATCCCTCTCTCTCTCTCTCTCTCACTTCTCTCACTCACTGTCCCTCTCTCAGTTCCCATCAACTTCCACTGTCTGAGCGTTTCTAGACATGCTACAATATACCAATAATTAAAGATGTAGGTCTCGAACACACTTAAGGTTCACCCCTTTGTCCCAGTCATTCACGCAGGTTCAGGTATAAGGGCCATGCACACGCATGCACATGCAGCCTTTCACACAACTCAGGAGACCTTTCGAAACAGTTCAGGGGTAATGTTCACGTACGAATACAGGTTGAGCTTCTGAAGTACTAGCTGTTTAACACCAGCTTACTTGGTCTACGTGCATTAGCTACTCGAATGTTCCATCCACCAAACACCGCTCGTCATGGAGTGGATCTGCATGGGGGATACACTAGACCATCCTGCGCAGAGATTGTCTTTACAGCATTCCCACTATATAAGCCCACGGGAACGAGGTATCAGGTATGTAGGCTGCTCTATAGATGGATAACAGGATGTAGCAGGGGCCTTATACGAGTTATGGCTTATATACACCTACCACCAAAAGCTCGATCGAATCATTGCGTTGCTGAGGAGCCAGCTCCATTGCCGACATTCTTCGCCATGCGACGAGTCACTGGGCGATGACCTGGCATGTTCCAACCAGCAATCGTACTTGACAATGCCATATAGATTGCACCGATGCTTGACTTCCGCTCTTTATTGTGACATGCTCTGAGCTTTTGTCCTCGCAATCCAAAGGAGCTAAGTTGCTTGGACCAGCCGTGGCTGGAGACTGTAGGCATGAGCGATCGACAAAACAAATTGGTTAGCCAGCTTTATACTCGCTCAGGCAGCTGCTGCTACTCCATTCTGATTCACACCTGCATTAGAGATGCAACTGTGCGGAATGATGGAGAGCCTTGATCGTGCCTTTTCAGGGACGGCTTTTCTACAAGTAGTAGCACGATAAAAGCAGTCAGCTGCAGGTTGGCAAAGTTTTCAGAATTGTTCTGTGCGGAAAGCGCACAGATGCCAGCATACAGGCTGGTAGGTCATATATGCCCTGCATGGCACCGATCATGACTCAGTGGCTTCCGGCTTCTTCTTGAAGTGGCGCTTTGCACTCCTCAGGCAGACATGTTGTTTGGGATCCCTAGGGAAATGGCTTCAAGGCGTCTCCAGGTCTAGGCTATGACATGTTGGCACAAAGCTGAGGCTCTGTCTTCACCTTGTTCTCGTTCGACACCACTTTGGCGCACCTGGGAATCTGTATCACTGCGCTGGGCGACCTATGAGTACTGAAAGCCTTGCAGCACCTTGATTGATGATTCAGCCCAGTTGCTTGTAAGTCCTATCCTTCATCATGGCCTCACTCTCCTTGCGCCACCTAAGAGGACAACAGAAGCTCACACAGGGTCTGATGGCATCCATCTAGTTAAGCTGCTACCAGTTTCAGTATTGTTGTCGTAGAGGATCATGGGAATAAAGTTGGAATCTCTGTATGCATGCACATGCATGTGTACCAAGCATATGCAAGACTTATATGATACTTATATGCATACACCTATGCTCATCTATATACACACAGGTTGTGTTATGTAGTCCTGTATAGGAGTAGACAAACATTTCTAAAAGGAGCATGTACCTGTATTGGCACATAGCAGTGTCTAAGATCGAGCAATTAGAGGCTTTAACTTCACAAGAAGATAAAGTAGAATAGCAAAATGCATGTGAAGAACACACACACAAACACTAATAGTTCGGGCCCTCGTCTCAATGATGGCCGAAAAGCACACATCGAATGATAGGTGCCCCAGTCCTCCTGGCAGTATGTTACCATAGTAACATGTCTAGCTACAAGGCACCCCTCATCCGTAACAAAGTAATACACCCAAGGTCTCCCCATGAAGCCTTTCCAGGTACGGAACTCTAGGAGTACAAGATTTCTACACCTGTTCAAGAAAACCACCCAGACACACAGCTCCCAACAAGTGTCCACTTGCATGAGGCTGCACTATCTACGAAGCTGAGCACATCTGGAAGGGGGCTTGGCTCTGTAAAGATCTATATATATATATATATATATATATTATATATATATGTATATGCATATATATATATATATGTATGTATATATGCATGTATATATATATATACATATATATGTATATACGTGTATATAGATAAGACAGGGTACTTCGGATTGTGTATCTATTTGTAGAGCCCTTTCTCTGGTGTTCAGTGCTTGCAGGGAAGTGTAGAGACCCAACATCTGGAGTAATCTTCTCCCTATATGCCAAAGATACAAAACTACTGAACCATTCCCTTCTAGCCCTATGGAAACAGCACTGACTGGAGACGGTCGAAGCCAGCCCTTCGAAGAACCGCAGGTTTGAGGTTTAGGGTTTACAGTATAGGGGTTTCGGGCTTGTAGGGCTTATTGGCTTTAAATAACATATATGTAACCCGTATAAATAGTTTCCTCTGTAGAGACTTCCTGTACCAGGACACAACATAACTTAGACCACCTATGACAGGATGCTCATGTGCTGCTAAAAGAAGTGCATGTGGGTGTGATCGGTGCTAGTAACAACATGGATACTCCCCGCGTCCATAGCCAAACCATGCTAGGGCTGATAGGGTTTGGACTCTTGTGTTTATATTTCAAGGTTGGTAGGGTTTTTACATAAAACATATGGTCGGTAGGATTGTAGAAAAAATGAACTAGGGTTTCGAGGCCTAGTGTGGCGTAATAGGGTTTATGTAGGATTGTTGCAGTTCGCCTGTTTGTGAGGGTTTGCACATCTACATTATGTACTCGGCTGAGTGTTCCCAAAAATGCCGATGCTCACGCTGCAGCTCTACATTGGCTAGGTACATACATAGCAGCGAGCAGCCGTTGCTATCCAACAGCAGATGTCGATGAACTCAGGTAGAGTGGATTTACACAGCCTCCTGATGATTTTTAGCTTAGCCGCTTGGCGTCATGATCCTGCATCTCTCCCTTGGCCTGCATGTCCGTAAGCTCAGTGTAGACCTGATCCAAGATCTTGGCATCCGCCTCCAGCGTCGCGACGCTCCTCGGCGATGGGATGACATGTTTCCTATGTAACTTATTTATTACACTGGCACGATACAGGAGTTGCCATGTGACAAGTTTAAGGCAAGTCTCCCAACAGCTAGAGGGTCATCATAGGTTTTGACAAGGTCACGGATCAAGGCCTGAAGCTTCGCACTCATGCTGAGCACACCGTCAATGTACTTGCGGAAAACCTCCTTGGCCTTTGTGGCCTGGTGAAGGTGGTGTTCGAAAGCACAACTCAGGATGATGACTGGTATACATGGCGCCCCACCTCACTGGCAACCTCGACAGCAGGGGCGTGGTTGGCTTCCACACTGTTTCGGTAATCATCCAAAGCACGGAAATCTCCACCATCCAGCTCTGCACGGTGTTCCTGCATTGAGGGATCATGTAGTTACATGTTACGAGGAATGTAGGAAAACTATACAGCACGAGCAACAGTAGCGCTACTTCAAGTATCCTGGGTGTTTTGGGTGATCCTCTGCTCGCGCTCTTCAGCAAGTTCACGGGTCCCTGTCTCTCGGACTTGAACCCAGTACTCGTCGTCACCGCCATACTTCGAGCGCCTGCCCGTAGAGCAGACCAGCATGATAATTTAGATGGGATGACATGCGGGAACACAAAGCTCCAGCCAGATCTAACGATTCTACTAAACATTGGAGATAGAATCAGATAGACGTCTCGCATGGCATGTGTACATGAATATATATTGTGGCTAGCACACAGACATGTATAGGTACGTGTGCATACATAGAGGTATATACACACCGTGCTAATCTTGTTTATGCGTAAGGGTATGTACAAGTATCTGTTCATATGTATATATATATATATATGTATGCACACCGACTTAGAACATATTAATATCGTGTATGTATGAATGTATGTATGTACGGATGTATGAATAGATGTCTTTATGTACGCACATAAATGTATAAATGTAGACACAGGCACATTCAGATGCAAACATACGGGTACATATGCATATGCATGTATATCTGCATACATGATGCATAAGCATACGCAAATAGTATATCCATGTAGACAGTGCACCTGATTGCATTTGCACGCACATGCACCATGCAGAAGCCTAGGGCCTAACCGAAAACACAATCTGCACTCCTCTAGTTCCAGCCAAGGCCTGATCAACTGCGAGGCATTCGTCTCGCATGCCCGAATTGCACCAGCGATCTTCTTCCTGATGCTGCTGAGGCTTGCATGAATTTAGAACTATATAGAAAACTATTGACTTCATAACCCTGTATACACCATATAAGTCTGCGTGTGTACATATATGTATATATACACACATGTACATCTTACATGGCCAAATCAAACTTAGAACATGCGGCTCAGCATGAACACACAACATCACAAATCATGGTAGGACCCATGCAGCAAGACTGGAAGGAGTACGTCCAGAAGCACAGAGATAAAGTTGGTTAGTCAGCAGCACTGGCCCGGAAGAGCAACTTCCAGAAAGATAATGTAGATACAGCATACATACACATGCGGAAGAAGACAGAAGTCATGCATAGGACACATAGAAACATACCACCTGTTTGATGCTATGATAGATACACGGAGATTTGCGGCAGGAGCAGAAGTGTCCGGTAAGATCGAGGTGGCAGCAAAGGACACGGTTGTAGAGTGTATATATGTCTATGTACATTATATAACCTAATATCCAGTTCCTCAAATGTTTACGAGCAGATAAATCGATCTATCTACGTGTGAAACGACATACAAACAAATACTATATAAATGACAATGAGCAAAACCATGTGCAAACATACGAGTGTTAGAGTTCGTAGACAGCCTGCGCAGACTGCCAATGAACATGATCGAGAACTGGAGGGAGAGGCAGAGAGAAAGAGTGGGAACGAGGGAGAGAGTGGGAGAGAGACGTCGAGAGGCAGTGGAAGAGACAGAAAGAGAGAGAGAGAGAGAGAGAGAGAGAGAGAGTGAGTGAGAGTGACAGTGAGAGTGACAGTGAGAGCGAGAGTGAGAGTGAGAGTGAGAGTGAGAGTGAGAGAGAGAGAGAGAGAGAGAGAGAGACAGAGAGAGACAGAGAGGGTGAGAGAGAGAGAGAGAGCACCGAGAGAGAAAGAAAGAGAGAGAGAGAGAGAGAGAGAGAGCAAGAGAGAGAGAGAGAGAGAGAGAGACGGAGAGACTAAGAGACAGACAAATATAACAAACCAGCTCAATTCGAGTACATTGCAGACAAGGGCTCGGGCTCCAGTGCAACACTCGTGACATGTCCTCCTTCGAGTACCAGCCTTCCTCGACCTGGCACGTCTTCTTGTCCCGCCGGTTGATACCGAGGTCACGAACTTATCCTGCGGGGATGCTGGTGCTGATAGCCGTTCATCGGGTCACTTATCAGGTTTAGGTATGACGGGTTGGGGATCAGTCAAAGCCAACTTCAGATCGCGAGACCACAGGCTGGTAAGTATGTACAGTAGTAACGGTGTTGGTAAGTGTGTATGTACAGGGCCTACACGTATACACAAACACATACAAGCACACTATATATATATATATATGTATGTATATATATATATATATATATATATGCTAAATACACACAGTGCACATAGCGCTAGCTGTAATACAATCTCACATCAAAGCTGATATGTATTAGTTCGTTTCTGCTTTAACATAGTCACTATATAGGAGGGTTTCTGCCATCATGGAGGAAGTCTTCGGTTTATATGTCACTAACTTGGTCGGATTGAGGAGCCAATGAAACGGTGCAATGTTCGGTCCTTGTTGTAGCCACATTCCTCGTACTGCAGGGAAAGGGCACTGTGGTTGCCAGCCTTCCACAACTCATGGAGCCACGTTGGCACAGCCAGGGACCCATTCTTGCGGCGCTGGCACAGCCTGCGAAGCTTAGCGTTCCTGGCTCCCCTGGACTTCTTGCCCGCACCTCCTGCTCCACCAGACACCGATTCGGAAGGCTCCTCCTTTTCATCCTCCTCCTTGTCCTCGGTCTGGCTCTCCTCGCAATGTCTTCCACTGTTAATTTGTTGCACACCTTGGGTGGGGTCCGACTCCGATTCCTCTGATCGAACTGCATGACATACAGGCACATCAAAGGCTCACAGGGCAACACACAGAATCACCCAGTCTCCTCTGGACAGTCGTTCGGGGGGCCACGGTCACTCATGCCATCTGGGATCATGATCTCCTCACGCTGGGATGGGGCGGGCTCAGTGCTGCTCTGTCGTGTTCAAAGTGGTGCGGAGCTTCTTCTTCTCCGGGCTGCAGTCTGTGATCCTGTAGCCCAAGACATTGCTAGCAGTGTCCAGGTCCATGGCACCGGAGACGACCATCTGCCTCACTCGCGCCTCCAACTCCGCGAGCTCCTTGCACAGAATATTTGGTCACCCAAGCAGCAAACAAAGCCGATGTCTGTTATAGGTGCTGACATAGATAATGCAGCTAGTTATGACTGAACGTCCTGGCTTTGGGCACTCGTGGCCAGGGAAGACGGTGAGTTGGAGCGGGGAGGGCTGGCCGTGGTTCGGTCCAAATCCTTGAGCTCAGCCTCGGAGGCCTTAATTGGTACAAGATCATTTGTACACGTATGCATGAGGTGCATCTAGGTACACAAAGAATGTGCATCTTGATGCAAGCACATGACGTTACTAGAGACATGCTGCATAGCACTCTTGCTTCTATAGACAAAGGGCAGGCTGCGTCTCAGCCAGATGCACGAGTTCCTTTGCCTGATCAGACAGCATACATAAATGTAGTGCATGAATGTGCAACAACCGAGGTATGGCTTCTCATCGTGTCTGCATATGTATATGGCCTGCTGATCGAGAGCCGCCGCATCCATTTCCTTTAAGGACCGGATAAAGACCAGTCGAACCCAAGACCTCACCACGATAGGTGTGAGGTCATGAACCCATATTAAAGATACGTGTTGAGCCCCCCCCTGCAGCTCACGTAGCTCCTGAGGATCATGTCCCTCCAACAGGATATGCTCCAAGCTATCCCGAAGCTCCGAGCAGCTCCACATCTTGGAAACAAGCTTGTTTTGTTCCATCCCGGCACAGCTTGGGAAGCCTAAGGGCAGCACAGGGTGCAACTAGCAGTGCACGAGCTGAAAGCTATGTTTCGCAGCATATAGCAGTTCTGCAGCATGCTGAGGACAAGTGACAATGACCCATCCAATGGTCAGCATGATGGCATGCAGATGCAGCTTGTCTCAAACTATTACATGCGAACTGCAATTGGTGGTGCACATTCCTTAAGGACTTTTAAGCACTGGCGAGCTTGAACATAGTCCAGTGTAACTTGCAAGGCCCTGCTTCCAACTGGATCATTGCGATGATAGACATGTAGGGAGCACTATCTATATACCTTCTTGCTAGGGGGTTCTTTCTGTAGGTAAGATGATATAGTCTTGTCACATCTAGGGCACAAGACCTATATGTTGATGTTAGTCGATGCTAAGTCTTTGCGATTCAGTTCCAGCAGGGAATGACTCACTCATCTTCAGGTCAGGGTTTATGGCAACAAACCATAACCAAAATTGGTGCAAGGGTGGCAAAAGTTTGTCTTAGTTTGGATGATTTAGTACTATTTTAACCCATAAAATTTTACGGGTTAGTTATGGCTTTTTACGGGTAGGTTACGCTTTGAATACGGGTCAGGGAAATACGGGCTAAGGGAAATACGGGTTAGGTTACGGGTTTTTACGGGTAAGTTACGGGCGTTTACGGGTAGGTTACGGGTAATACCGGGTTATGTCGTCCATATACTTTCTGCCTAAGTATAGAGAGCACGACCTATAGGATTTCGTCATAGTGTTCTAGCAAAAGCAGACTGTGGGATTTGAGCTTCTCAGAGTTGTTCAGAGATGACTCGAACCCTAGAAACCTACACGAGCCCGAAGTATCCTTGGATACAGACCCTACTAAGAACCTCAGCATCTCAACCCAACCTTATAAACATGTTTACACATCCACATCCACCCCAGCTACGACGTACTCCAGCACCCAGGCTGTGGCACATTCTTATTGAATCACATGGGCAGGAGTAGTTCCGAGAACACTCGAACAACATGTCCTTCTGGGGCCCCTACTCTGTTGGCTTCAGGTTCTTGTTTCCATGGAACCGCTTCACTCCTTTCTTGTCTACATATCGGTGGCTTGTGCGAACTCTGTCTGGATGAGCACTGCAATAGCTCTGCCAGTCCCGAAGCGGCCGCTTGTAGAGCTTATGAATGGCATCTGCATTTGCGTATGCCCAATGCGGCTTTGGTGTAGCAGCTCCATAGTGCCACATGTGCCACGTGACTCTGGTAACCTTGGCAGGTCAGTGCAGGGACACAAAAGTTTGATGGAGGGTTTCCAAGAAAACTACACAGCCAACACATGCACACACACAGAAGCCCCTCCCAGCACAATGACATCTGCCCTGCAGGGCTGAGCGTCCACTGCAATCTATTTACGCTGCCACTCTTAACACCTCATCAGAACCATGTGGCGTTTTGGAGTGTTCATGCGAAAATAGCAGAGGTAGCCGTATGTGCATGCCGAGCACTGTCCGGTTCATGGAGCACAGCACTTCGGTATCCATTCATGCATAGGTCCATGCACTATGGCCCTATATTCAGAGCTACACCACCTTGTGAACAAGTGCAACAAACACAAGTCCACATCGACCCGGGTATACTGTCTGCATGAAGCTCCCACGACCTAATTTAAACGAAGCCACATCCGAGAACACTGTGCCAGGATACCGACCCTCTGAAATCACTTAGTCCACGCGGCACCTCGTGTCCTTCACTCGCTTCTGGGCAGAATCGGGAACCATGCAGTGTGAGTCGACAGCCAGTCCGTGGGGAAATAGTTGCAGCACTAGATTGTTCAAAGCCGTCAGCAAAAGACTTATACACAGTAATCGTGCATCACATAACAATTAAACACCTGATTTCCAACATCACTAGACCCATGTATGCAGTACATACTTGCAGGGCACCCCCTCTACTGTGGTTGCTGTCCCAAGTCGAGGCTCTGTCATCCCGAAAGCTGCAGATTTCCCAATGTAGCAAATTCAGACTCTTAAGTGGGGTGATGAAGCAGCACTCGATCCTGCATGACTCGATGTATGGTTTTCAACAAGTACCTACAATGCCAGCCTCAGTCCATCTACCTGAACCCCCACGGTTGCTGTTTTATTTCGGCAACTGAAAATCAGTGTACGACTTCTGCGGTGTATGCTTTCTGCGGTTGACTATTTTGGCTCCTGATGTGAATATCCTTTTCGAGAAGATCGAGATTCTTGAATGCCTGGGGCTTATTTGGTGAGCAAAGTTCGGTTAGGGTACAGGGTTGCTTCGTAAAAAACACATATGGCGATGAGGTCGAGCTATGCTGCTGGATTGGTTCGATGTTATGGAGGACTGCCTTGAGTGTCTCTGGGCCCTCGGGGTTCAAAATTGTAGGCTGAGGCAACAAACAGCGATCCTTTTTTCTACCATCTCAGAGCCAAGTTGATCTTGTACTTTTGCAGTGTAGCAAAATGAATCGTTCTGCCGTGGCAAAGCCTGGATAACGAACAAATCTTGCCAACATAGTCTTCGTCCATCTGGCAGGAATATGCTAATGGATTGAGCACGGGAAAGCCAGTATCAGCTTGGAACCGTAAATCCCAGCAGATGTGTGCCCAAAAATGCAATTTCGTCACGATTTGATATCGCGGATCGCCCCTTCTCAATGCCATCGAAGCCAGCTTCTTAAAGCCACGAAGGAAGTTGAGGCCTTCAACCGAAATAGCTCGTGCAGTGTCTGGTTCCATCCAAAGAGGGGCTTCGTACAGCATGCTCAGACAAGTATTTGCGTGTTTGGCAACTTGCAAGATACGGGTCATGTATGCCTCATCGTCATTGTTGCCAGAAAAGTCAGCGAGAGCCCTGGCATATTTCCATTCTATATAGCGTACAATGCATCTCGTGTCGGCCCCCTTGAACCAGCTCCTGAACGATTTCTAATGCCCGTACCAACGAAAATTGGAAAAAAAGCTATACCTGAACCTAATACAGTGTATAAAATCAGAACATATCCTAAGCTCTTACCGGATACAGTAGCCAGAAAACCCAATACCGATAATATCTAGCTCGAGCTTCGCTGAAGGAAAATCTGCTGCTGTAGGTCGCCCCAGAAGGCCTTTGGTCAAGCGGACCATGTGTAAGTTGAGACCAACCCCACGGCAGTAGCCGCTAAGATCCTCGTAGATTGCATCGCAACGAATTTGAAACGACCCTGGTGCAACCAAGTCCAAATCCATCAGGACGACCTTTGGGACAAGAGTATTAGAATAACGAACAATGAAATGCATAGATAATAAAGATACAATTAGGAACTTTTGGGTCTATCTAAAGGTCCACAAAAGATAACTTAAAAAATGTGACACAATCGCGACTAGCTGCTAGGGAGCTCGCCCCAAAATCGCCGACTACACCCTTATGCAGGGTGTGGAAGGTGTCGATGAGGAAGAAGCCCCCTGTAAGATCGCTAGGAATCTTTGTAAGAGGGCTGGGGTGATGCCACGGTCGATCTCTTGTGGCGTTCGGGTCCCTCAACCACTTGGCATCCCTCTCAATCTCAAACCACGGAAAGGCGGCTCTTCCAGCCTGACATAGATGACATATGCCAGGTGGATTGGCTTTCGTTGGAGAATCTCGAGACCAATTTCTCGTTAATCGGCCCATTTTGACCAAACCTGCCAGATCGCCTTTCAGGCCCAAGACAATTGGGTATATGGTGCTTACTTTGCCTCCCAGAGAAATTGTAACTCCGTCATGAAAAGCAGAAACCAGATCAGTTGCCCAATGTTCCAGGAGTCGATACAGAGGAAGCTTGCTCTTGGAATATGTGTTGGCAAGTAACACAGAATACAGAAATCTGTTGACATAGGTGCTGCCAGCGAGATTGATGTCTTCGGCTCTTCGTGATCCTTTGGCCAAGATTGGCTGGAATTGCAACACGAGAAGGCCTCGTTTTTTCGGCCCAGTGCCCTCGTCACAAAATAAATACAAAGGCACACACCTCTCCAGATGATGCTCATGATGCTGAAAAGCAGGATGGTTAGGTCGATGGTTCCGGAACAACTCCCAGAACTGGCGTAGATCATCGAAGTTGTGGCCCTGCAAAAGCATCTCTCCAACTTTATCAACCTTCGAAAGCCCGGCAAGAAAATCTTGGATCCGAAGCACAGGATGCTTTTTCTTCATGCCGATATTCACCCAAGTCGTGGATATTTTAGCCTGCAACCCATTCTTCTCCAAAACCTCCCCCAGACGATGCTCATGACCCGTGCGGTGGAGTCGAGTCAGATCAGATAGAAAGTTGCTGGATGCCACAGTTGCACCCGCTTCAGCCAACTCTTCAGCGAAAGCTGCGGCCACTGCACAGGCTCGCTGCTCACTCACCTAAGCCACAGCAGGCAAAGCCGATGTTGATACCCTGAAAATATTATATTCTTTGGGTGCCAGGATAATTGGTTGTTTTCAGTTCTTGCCCAAGGGGCAACTCTTTGTAACTCCGGAGTTTGCTGTCGTGACATACGGATGTAATGCAGTGTTGTACTAGTAGGACGGTAAGCACACTCGCAGCATCAGCCATAGCAAAGCGATGGCACCAGCAAAAGCAGCAGGAATGCCGGAAAGCAGCAGCAGCAGCAGCAGCAGCGGCAGCGGCGGCAGCAGCGGCAGCAGCAGCAGCATCAACAACGGCACCAATAGCACAGCAGCAACACGACGAAGCGACCACAACGGCGACACCAGGGATACAACAAGGCTAGTCACAACAGCAACAACGGTAGCAAGCACAACCAACTTATCGTCACTGATGACAGCAATTATCTCTCTAGTGCGAGGCTTCCCAAAGCGATACCCTAGGCTAATCTCTGTGTGAAGGAACAAATCAATTGTCGATCCCACCTAGAGTCGTATCTATCTTAACTAGTTATACATAGTTATTGTTTATGATTAAGACTTGTGTGTATATATATATATATATGTGATAGATGAATGAATGCATGTATATGTACTTTATGTATGGGTTTATCTTTATTTACTTCCCCCTATAAGACAGACATTGAATTCGGGCTGACAAAAGGTAAAGGTTCCGCATGGCCCGAGTTTGGGAAAGTTTTGCTATTCCTAGAAAGGAGCCCCAGCTGCAACCGCCCCGGCCAGAGCTTTAGTGGCAGGACGTGCTGCTGCCAGCTTGGCCTTCTTGAAAGAATTCGAAGGCGACGGAGATCCTGCGTCGGGCGGGGGTCGGAGGGCTTAAGGTAATTATTGCTAGGGCTAGGGTTGGTTGGCATCCAAAGTGCAAGCTTCGAGCATCTTTTTGATTGACCCCACACCAATCTGCGGCACCACTGGAGCTGAAGAGAAGCACTCTCAACTTGTTGCCCCCATTAAAGAACATATAAGTTCCCCTAACTACTAACTTCGTGTGCAAAACACGGAAGTAACTATGCTGACCAGGTTTGCCCAGCAGCAAGACGAAGATCGATACCCAGCCCGGGGCACAGGTCCACATCCGTGCGATTTGATTTGAGAATCTTGGGTTGGAGAGCTAATATAAGCCTAATGAGAAGGTTTCCGACTTTAAATATTTTCGGATCATGGAGTCTAAGTGACCCAGGCTATCCACATCCATGTAACTCTATCTAGCTCGCCCGTACTCGGCGATTGCCTTTTCCCTTGCCTTTGCCTTTCACAGAAGTTCCGGACTTCGGTGCAGGATCAGTCACAGCCTTCTCAGAAACCCGCTTCACGGGCTTCAAGATTGTCCTGAGTAGACACACGACCCAAATGGTTCTTTGCTTTAGCATCTTTTTCAGTTTTGATTACGGCGGCCGAGAAGCTTCCGAAGCTTCCTCTCCTCCATAACAGCCAGTGAGCACCTTAGATAAAGCCAAGCGAAAGTATTGTCACATACGGCAAACCCACATCATTCCAGAAGGACATGAAACACACCGTTGAGACGTGCACTCCTTCTCGATCTCAGTCATGTGCTTGTTCAAGGAGCTGATTTCCCTTAGGTTTTTCATGTCGACTAGGCTGGTACCATATATTATGCAACCTGTACACCTGGACTTTAACCAAAACTCGCCACGGTTCTGTGCACTCAGGCTCTTGTGAGCATCGAAGTTGGCTTTCAGCTCGGCGACATCATCATGAAGCTTCAGGATCTTTTCGGCACGTTTCTTCATGGCAGACAGAGCCCTCAGTTCGGGTGTTGATTTCTTGGTGTTGGGAGTCTAGTTAAGGATAGGCTGGGTTTGCTCATGTGACACGAGGTTGCTTGCGTGAGATTCTGCTGGCTGTCGCCATCCTTGATCTTCCCGAGCTTGGCCATCTGGTCCTCCAACTTGTTCCGAATCTTCAGGACCTGCTCCAGAATCTCCTCCACATTGTCGACAGCCTGCAGAAGGCGGGGATTTGGGATAATAATTATTTGAATAAGTTCTTGACTGGCTGCGGCCTCCAAAGCATTCTCATACTCCAAGTCGACCTTTGATTTGGAGGGCTTCAGGTTGGGCTTTGCTTTGGGCCCTTTGGGTCCGTTGGGCCCACCGGGTCCGTTTTTCGGTCCGTCCCCATCGCTCTCATTCCCCGAGTCGGAATGGTCGCTTTCATCAAACTCCTCATCCTCCCTCATCATCGCACCACTTAGGCCCGAGAGGGGTGCTGGGTCTTCACCACCCTTTCCTGGCCCGGACCGGGTGTCCTGGAACCTCTCCTCCTGCTCGTCCTCGATCTCGGCAATAAAGTCCTGCTCAACCCAGTAGAGCTTCACCGTGTGCTGGTAGCGGTCTCGCCTGTGCGGCCGGAACTATGATACCCAGGATCCGACAACCCATGTGTGCTTGTGGATATGTAAATCTTTGCAACCCAAGAAGCTTCACATGGGTCTTCTTTCTCTCGGGGGCAGTACAGTAGGCGATGACAGCTTTGATGCGATCCCTCAGCACAACATGTTGTAAATGCACAGCAGAAAACAGGCCCTGGACTTTGGAGGTTCGGTCACCTAAAATTTAGGTGACCCAAGTTAAGGCAAGAATCGCACTGAAACCCAGACCAGTCTTCATCCTCTCCTTGGTGTACCAACCAAAGGTTCTCTTCGTCTTCTGCTTGCGGCTCCTGGTGAGCATGTGCTCCACCCGGCGGACGAAGGCATCCTGCAAAAGCGGGGCATGGGGTCAAGGGGTTTTGTGAAAAGGCTTCGTTCGGTGTCCTTGTCACCAGCAGCAGCAAGGAACTGGCGAACCAGGGCCATGCGTCTTGTCCCCCCGGCTGCAAACTCCGCCCTTAGACTCTGCGGTGCCGTAACATTTCCCGATCGGGCTTTCGGCGTGCACATCCGACCGATAGCGGCTTCAGCTCGTCGTTCCTTCAGACATGGCATTTGTCAGAGCTAGCAGCTAGCAGCCACAGCATCAGCAGGGACGAATATTATAAGCTCTACATAGGGTCCTCGGGTGTCTTGGCGGAGGGCTTCTTACCTGTGACCCTCGTAGCTGGCACTGTACTTCCATTGGTAGCACTGGAGGATGCGGGCGACGTCGTCTTGGACTTCGGGCTCGGTGTGGCCTGGCGACAAGGCTCCAACACAGCATATGTCATTTGGTATGGATTGGCTTCGGCCATGCAGAAGCCTTCACGATTGTTTTCTTGACCTTGCTTGGAGGCCGTGCACCCTTCTTGTTGCGTCCTTTGCCAGGTGCAGCTGCACCGCTGTCCTGGCACGAAGAGCGGGAGGCCACGACTTCAACCGGAGGCTTAGGCATTCGAGGGTCCTTCGGCGGGGAAGCTTTGGAGCTTGTGGAAGGAGAGGGGCTTGCAGTGGAGGTAGTCGGCGAAGCCACCATCAAAGCACTCAGCCGTGCACTGGCTGCCTGAGTAGGAATGGTGGACCCACATGAAGCGAGCACAGATTGGATCATATAGGTAGACACACTGCCTCTGTGCAGAGCTAGCTACTTTGATCTTGTCATCCAAGCTCACGGAACCATCCGACACGTAAGAAATCAAGTCGAGATCCTCGCTCAGGCTCGGGGCGAGACTGGCCATCGATTTCGGCATCGCGAGGCAGCTAGATCGTATAGGATGTTGGGCACCCACACTAGAAAAGAACCAGCCTGCACAACCGGCCACGAGCACAGGCAGTATACAATCGTTTGCAAACAGCATGCACAGCGAAGCAAACGTGCCAAAAGCTGTTGCGGGGCCGCTAAAACCCCGCACTAGAAAAGCAGCAACTGCGCCTTGAATACTCGTGATTTCGTCACGGTTATTCACGGCACTTCCCCGCACATTCACGGCACTTTCCCACGTTCCCGGCACAGTGTATGCTTCTTGGGGTCATTGTTCAGGACCGCACCAATGCGGATAAAAAGTGCTAGAAGGCGTGAAAAAAGGCTTTTGCGGGATTTATTCTGCGGTGAACGATTTTCTTTCCTATGATTAGAGGAACCAGTACCGGTCTCTGGAAGGCCCCACGTCTACGGGAGGAGCCCATCTCTTCTGGCGTGTGCAGACCCCAGGATCAGAAGTGCGGGGCCCCGCTGTCGCCGCTGTCCATTTCATGCCTGCAGAGTCCAGCAGTCTTTCCGTTTGTGCAAGTCAGGATTTGCAACATAATGCGGAATTTCCGAAAAGTAGAGGTTGTGCCAAAGCGGCACTCCACGGTGGAGAATCCCTTCAGCGGGGTCCTTGGCCCAGACGACCCAACTCGAAGTCCGGCCTGATCGCTAGTTCTTGGATTATAGGTCACGTGTTGGGGTTGGGTTCGGGTTCTAGTGCTTGTATAGGTTTCCGGCACCCACTTTCCCAAAGGACAGGTCGGGTCACTACAATATAGAAGCCAAATATAAGAACTCGAAGAGGGCTACTTCTGCTTGCTTTTATGCAATTCCGCCCTTAGTGGAAACAAAGTGCCGGCCCCTTCCAGAAAATGCGGGCTTGGGGTTTAGGGTTAGGGTTGCTGTTCGGGTTCTCCTGGCGTTTGCTTCTGGCGATAAGAGTGTTTGTGTAAAGATTGCAGATGGCTAGATCGAGGCCCGGCAGCGAGCTGGGAATTGTTGCGGGGAGCCCGGAACCGAGCACAGCTTCTAGCTTTAGGAGAACATGCGAAACTGCCAGCCCCGACCCAAACCTGGATTGCACTTTCATTCCTGTCAATAATGGAACCCGAAGAAACCACTTATGATGCAAGCCCCGGTCGAAAACCCCATGGCCCCAGAGGGTATCAAAATTTAAGCTTCTATAGGGTTCTTAGGGTATTAAAAGGATGTTAAGATTAGTAGGGATCATCGAGGGCTTCTAAACTTCATTATCGGGTTTCGGGCAGGTTAGGGTTTCGTCGACTTAAGGGGTTCAGTGGCTGCACAAGCACAGAGATTTGTAGGCCTCGCCGGTGCGAGTGAACTTCATAATCGGGCATGGGCAAAACCTCAGATCGGCTCCCACAGAGAGAAGCACCGAGAGATAGTTCCAACGACATGCGTATTTATGCTTATTGGGCCAAGAGACCTCTAGGACTGGACTTTTCCGGTCAGCCATGAACACATCAATCCGGTGCACGGCAGCGGTGAGATGCTGCAGTGTTTGTCATGGTATGCAGCTATTATTGCAGAATGACACAGGCTTAGCTAGCCCAGCACATGAAGGAAGCCACGGTTTGAGCAACTGAATGCGTACACTGATATCCGCCCCCAACAAGCACTCTCGAGGACATCGAACCCTGCAGAAACATAATTAATATAGTAGACGACCAAGCACCGGACTCGAGAGAGCCAGCGAGAGAGGAAGAGAGAAAGGCGAGAGAGAGAGAGAGGTATATATATATATATATATATATATTAGTTCCCAAATAGCAGCTATATGTACTAGTCACAGAGACACAGCGAGAGAGAGAGAGAGAGAGATAGAACGTGAGAGAGAGAGAGAGAGAGAGAGAGAGAGAGAGAGCGAGAGAGTGCATGAGTGACAGAGAGAGTAAAGAGAAAGATAATGATAAGAGAGAGAGGGAGACAGGCAGACAAGGGAGGTGGCACACGGCAGGGGCAGGGGCACACCTGTACCACATCGTTTGCTGCCGAGGCCATACCTCGCCCGGAAAGCAGAGCTCATCGCTCCAGGCCTGGCCAGACGTGCAATCAGTTTGGTGGGGTTGTTTGGCTTCGAAGGTATCGACATCGGTAGTTCATTGTATCTACAAACCAGAAACCTCATATAGGCACACATGCAATTCCAAGATCCCAAAACCCAGACCCCAAAAAGAATTGCGACCAATCAAAGTTGCGAAGCTTGGGGGTTCAAGACAACAGGCGAACAAGACCCACAGACCTGCTTCAGCATCACCCGCACCACCATCGAAGTCGTAGTCCAGGGCGGAGAGGACCTGGCAAAACCCAGCATGCACTGCTACTTGTGCTAGTCACCCCTACAGCCAGTAGCCAGCCAAATCTCGGTCCAAGCTTCTTGTTGTCACTGATCAATGCACTGCACTACTACCCAGAAGTTCCCAAACTTAGCTTTTGCATACACTTGCATACAGACAGAAGCACCTGCACCAGCATCTTGGAATTCGCCCAGGAAGTCGATGACGAAGTTGAGCACCTGGCGTGTTGAGGGGATGTGCGGGCTCGGATCGGGGGAACGAGGGCCGTTAAGCTAGGGGTGAAGGTCTTTGAAGGAGTATGTCATTATGCCGGTATGTATGTATGTATGTATGCATGCGTATTAATATATAAATATATAGTATATAGATATATGCCCGTCTTTATAAGTAAGTACGTATGCATGCGTGTATATTTAGCTCTAGGTATCTGCGTAGGTGTGTAGGTCCGTATGTAGGTATTTACGGAAGCGTGCAAAGATGCATGGATGGACTAACCGACGGATAGCTGGATGATGGCTTTATGATTGGTGGGTGGCTCCATATAACTATGTGTACTAGATATAAAGATAGATATGTATGTGTATGACTAAGTATCCACCGATGTATGAATGTGCATGTATAAAGAAACATGCATATGTGTTCACATGTCATGTGTCGCACGGTATGTGCGTGCGTGTGAGCATGTGTTCGGGTTGGCTTGTGTGTGTGAGAGAGTATGTTACATGAGCAACTGAGTGCATGTTTGCATAAGACCTTTCCTCCAATCATTCGGTCACACAAGCCATCAAAAGCTAGAACTTGGCGTTCTACTCTGGCATCAAGACAAGCACCTGCCTGCATTGGGCGCATAGAGAACCACGTCTAACATTGAAACAAGTTTCGCTACCTTACACGGAAGTATAGTTAGAGGCAGCAGACATCGAGAGGTGCCGAACACGTGGCTTTATCAAGCTTGGCGGCATCATCAAAGCTAGACCGAATCTTGTGTAAGCCGAATGAACCCAAGCCCATATCCGATAGTGCCTGCCCAGCAAGCTGAAGCCACAGGCCAAAATATCTCACTCCTCGGCTTTGGCCGCTTTGCTTTGCAAAGTGGCCCTGGCCTTACGAATGGTCTCAGGGCTGACATCCGATCGCCTCTTCCCTCTGAAGGTAGCCTTCTCGCACGTGGGACACCCTCGCTCGGCAAAGCGGCAAGACGAGCATCCCAGCGACAAGACAGTGCCATCCGACAACTTCGGTGGCACTCTCTGCTTGCCGCCCTTTCTCATCTTCCCCCAAATCTTATCCTCAGCGGGAGCCTTCTCCTTTCCCTTGCCTCGTCCTCGTCCCTTGCCCTTAGCCTTCGGCGTAGCTTTCGCTTTCGGGGCATTCGGAACCTTGGTGGTCTTGGGGGCCTTCTCGGCTTTGGCCTTGCTTTTAGCCTTCGCCTTAGCTGCACCCTTCATGGCTGCAGCTTTTTTCCCACGTGGCTTCATTTCATCTTTGATCTTCTGCCGAAGCTTCGCCTGCATTCTCGGATCCACCTCGTCGCCCTCGTCGCCCTCTTCGCCCTCTTCCTCGCCTTCCGGCTCAATCACTTCATCGTTTTCCCAATCTCCGGATTGCTCCTCTTCCCCCTCCTCAAAGCCACCGGTGGACTCAGGCTCACCGTCGGCGTCGTCGGCTGCGAGCCGCTTGTCGTCGTCCTTCGTCTCCTGCCGATATTTATTAAGAAAGGTATCATAATCTAGCTCTGTGTGTGTGTGTGTATGACACATGCAGACTCTAAACGATCATGTCAATCCTCGGCAGCGAAACTCAAAGCCCGTGGGGCAAGCGGTGATCCAGGCATCTGCTGGGTGTCCTCCTCGTGCGGATTCTTATGGTGGCCAAACCTACCCTATGTTGCAGTGCAAAACCCACATGTGATTGGCATGCGAGGCCTCATCCGGCTTCTTCTCAGCGGGGGCCTTGCCATTGGCACCTGCACGACTTTGATAGCTCAAATACAACCTCAACCCCCAATCCTGTATTCCAGCTTGCATCTACACAAGCCCACCTTCGGTGGCTTTCTGCGGGGATCTCTGCCTCGAATGATATGAATGGCAAGTGCAACCAATTGACCAACACTTTCATGAAATCCGAAACACTATACCGTGCGGTTTAGTAGCATCTGCAGCGTCTTGATCTTGTCCATGATCTGCTTCAGCTCTTCCTCCTTGGAAGCCGTGGGGACCTCCTGGTAGCTTTCATCAGTCGATGCCCTGGGAAGCTTGCTTGCGGGAGTGACTGGGTCCTCGGAGGACTCTTTCGACAAACCCTTGCGGAGGCGAGCTTTGCTTTTCATCTTCCTAAGCTTCTTCGGGGGCGGGGGAGGCATCTCATCCTCCGCCTGTTCCTCCTCCCCTTCCTCTTGGCCTTCATCAGCCTCCTTCCTGTGCTCCTCCTCCTCGTCTTCATCCCACTGATCATAGGCTTCCTCATCATCTTCCGGAGCAGCCTCGTCGGGCACGGGCTCCTCGTCCTCGCACTCATCTTCCTGATATTCCTCGTCCTCCTGTTCATCTGGGTTCTCTTGAGCTTGGCGGATTGACTGGATCAAAGCAAACAGGTTGCGGACACCGGCATCCTTGCTGCAGGGAACAAGTCTAGCAAATAGTACCCTGCGAAAACACAAACAAACAGAGTGCATATAGCTCAATCATTGATGCTGATAAGTTTCTCTTGGGGTCTGGCCTCGTTTGTAAGAGTCGTACTGGCGTTTCCAGGCGAAGGTAATGAGCCTCCGAAGATCCCACGACTCCTGGTAGAAGGCTCCCTCGGCAGCCTCCTGCTCCACGAGTTCGTACAGCTTGGTCACCTGTTCCGGGCTATGGTGCTTTCTCTTCTAAGTAACCTTACAAGGCATTGTTGAAACCAGGGACCTGCTTCTGCAAAGGCTCAATGTGCACAGGGTTCGGCCCGTAGACTTCAACAATGCAGTGGAGGGCATCTGCATTCATTGCGAGGGCCGCTGTCGAAACCGGATGCGTATCCGCCTTGTCCCCCACAGGCACTGGGAACTTCACCCATTTGCCGGTTCGCTCGAACCTTTTTCTGATTCGCCGATTCCCTTCCCACTTCTTTGCAAGCACAAACTTCTCCGCCGATTTTTTCGTTCGTGCCATCCTAAGATTAAAACTCCGAGAGCACCGTGCTATTGGATCCCTCGAGCACAAAACCTTCAGGAAAGGGCTCCGATTGCCTTGAGCTATGTATCCCAGATGCATGCGAAGCTGGCTTGCTGAGGCTTTCCACATCATTCCAACAAGTGGTACTTCAGTAGTGAGCAATACAAGCGAGACAGGCGGCCCGATCACCATTGAAAGCAGGCTGCAAGCCCATCCTCGCGAACGGTAGGGCCCTGTTTAGGCTTTGGTAACTTGAACAGTTTTATGTCGACCCGTCTGATGTTGCCCTAACCCGACCGCCTCAAGCAGACACTCAATTATAGATCGATTGCCCCATCTCTTGAAGCAGTCGCTAGCTATACGAGCCAAAATACCTCTATCTTCTCACTCACTCTCTCTTTCTTTCTCTCTCTCTCTCTCTCTCTCTCTCTGTTTTGTCATACTTCTGTGGTAAATACAACCACAACTATAAGCTCAGAAGCTCGCTCAGCAGATATCTCCCTCCAGCACAAACCGTCCTTCGTGACACTGCCAGGCTTCAGCTCCGCATCGTCGCGTGAGGGCCGTGCTGCTTTGAAGGGCTTTGTGTAGGGTTTATTGCGGTTTATTTTAGGGTAATCGGGGCATTCGCTATCCATCCCGGGATGTCGAAGGATTCGATACATATCTCAGCACACCATAACACTAGAATGAAGTCGAGTTTGGCTTTCCAGCATGACTAAGCTAGCTAAAGGCACAAGTTAAGTCCATGACGTCAGCGAAAGCTCGAAGAAAAATGGGCGGACAAGCTCATGCTCTGCACCTGAACTTCAGCTTAACAACCACCTAAAACCAAAGTTGATGATTTCTCCTGTTGACGATTTTGGCGGTGTATACTTTCATTGGCTATCATACAAGAAGTTGAGAACTATTGTTGGCACTTCGTCAAGTTGATATTAATACTGGGCACTTCGGCGCTCCAGGTAATTTACCTGACCTGAACCGTCGAACCAACACATATGCGAATACATTCACCTAATAAGCCTTCGATCGAGTGCACACAGGCATATATTCCGACCATTGAATACCTCGAGACCTGGTTTTGCTGCAGAACAGGTCTGAAGTGTCAGGGGTTGCTTCAATTAAGTGTCAGTGCTCACGATGGCTATGATTGCAGTTACTAGACTGGAATTTGATAGGTTGGAATCGGCTTCGACCTACAGGAGGGAATACTTCTTCCTGCATTGAGAATGAGTTCAGGGATGAGGTGTTGAAGGATTAAGGGTTCCGGGGCCTGCACTTCATGCTCTCACATACACAATTACGGGGCCGGGCTGAAAGCTGCTATGTGGAACCTGTGCGAACCAGGGTTTGAAGCCTGCCACACAACCTTATCCAGCACTGTAAAACTGCAACAGACAGCTGAACCCGATCTAGGAGCCACACCTACGATGAGGTATATGTTATATATATATATATGGAAGTGCGAGCACGAGAATACTGAATGCAGGATGGGTGAGTGTGTGGTCGCTTGTGAATTGCTCAAGCTGAAAAATGTTCACTCGCAGCTCCTTGGGGCTGATTTTCCTTCTGGCTAAGACCCTCGACCGAACCTACGAGGTGTCTAGGTCCTGTGCTGCGGTCGAGGATCTAGCACCCAAGGTCGCTGACTTGGTGGCCCGTAGAGTGAGTGATTCTTGTAGCGCCATAGCCGAACGGGCCTTTGAGCTAGAGAAGAAGGTGACCCCACTCGAGAACGGAGAGAAGACTGCTCCGTGGCCCTGGGGATTGATCTGGTTAGGACTCTGTTCCTTCTCACACGTCGGGGCTTTCATCCTTGGAAGGGTCAGCAAGAGGTCCTCTGTCTGTCCCACGTCATCTCCGAAGCATGGCAGACGGCGCGGGGGTGGCATTCTGGAGGCTCCGACCGGGCAATAAGGCAGTCGTGTACTATGATGACGACGATGTATGGCACGAGCGGCAGATTCTGTTGCCCGGCGGGTCTCCCGAGTCATACTGGATTCGCACCCCGACGCTGACATATACGAGGAAGACTTACAAGGAGGTTCTACCGAAGGACCTCGACGAGTGCGACATGTCCCGTTCGGGGTGAAGACGTTGCCCAACATGAGGGTGGCGGTCTACAGGTTCAAGGAAGATGTCACGGACGACGACCTTCGGAAGTGGATGAAGGACGCCATCCAGGAGCATGTCCGCGCTTACGGTAGGGAACCCGACCTGTCAGATGTCCAGGTCGAGCTAGCAGACGGTTCCTTGGCATCAATTCAAGATGTCGTCGGTGTACGTCGCGTCTGACAGGCAAGGGGCCCCGAGATAGGACCGAGACACCAGGAGCAGCGGGCCCTGGCACCTGGCTGGTGGCTGATCCAAGACATGGGCTCTCCCTGGGTACGCCCATCACTCCGGACTTCAACAAGGATTTGAAGCTTGACGATGTGAACGCGGTTGTAAATGTTCGGGGCCAATGGGTTCGCGTGGAGTGGGTTGCAATAGGGCAAGAAGCTTCATGGAAGAAAGCGAGGGCATCTGAGCTCAACTCTCCCTGCGAGTCTGATGAGGCGCTCGCCGGCGACTTGAAGCTCCTCCCTGCCGTCCAGGACGCTCCGGAGGACAATGAAGGGACGCTGGTCAAGGACAAGGCGGGTGAGGACGCCGGGACTCTTTGGATCATCTATGACGATCAGAATGAAGACATCGTGAGTGGCGCAGCGTGGTGCAGGAGTGTGTGACCCACAGCTTCACAGACTGGCCATACCAAGGTCCCCAATCCACCATGCACATGCTCAAGCATATTCATAAACATGGTGGGGAACCGAAGAGCTGGTTGCAGCTGTGGCTCCGCAAACACAATGTCAGTGAGAGTGATCGTGTCTGTCATGAGCTCAAGACCCTTGTAGACATTGTCTACCTTGGCGGATGCTACGACCAGCTCAATCTTGCGAGCTTGGCTTCGTTTGAGGCTGCCAGCCGCCGCATCCAGACCATCGTGAAGGCTTTCTCCGCGGCCTCAGGCGGCAGCGGTCCAGACTGGTCACACGCAAGATTGTATACAGGACAAGCCACCGCGGACGACATTGTCAGCCCAGAACTTCGTTCCTGGGCTGCAAAACGCGGTAAAGAAGAGGTAGAACTAGCTCAGGCGAGGGCGAAGATCCGGGACTCCAAGCGCCTCGGGTCCCATGCAACTGAGAGCAACGAGACCGGTGATCATTCGGAACCACCTGCCCCTGCTCTCCCCGGACGTGGACGTGGGCGGGGCCGTACAGTCAAAGGGCTGGAGGCCCCGCCGAAAGCATGAACCCTCGCATCAGAGGCGCTCTCCCGGGTGCTTTGATCCCGGAAGAAAGGTCCTTGTGCAGGTTGAGCAGGCGGTCGTCGCAGAGACAGGCGCGCCGCCTGCGCAAGACAGAATCCGTGAACGACGGGCTCCGGACCCTCAATTGGATGGCTGGTTGTCCGTCTCAGGCTACCTTCACTCCCTCGGCGCTCCAATCCGAGATCGTCGAGAGGGTGGTGAAGCTTTCATCCGACGCATATGAGTTGGATTCAAGCTTTTCTTCACCGCCTACTCCGGAGGCAGCCCTTCGGGAGCTGCTCCGCGGCGCCGACGACTATGTCGACTCCGTGTCCACTTTGGCGGCCTGCCGCCGTGAGCGCATCAGTATGCCGGACTCATTGCATGGCTCACCCGACGTGTTGTCCCTGCTGCCGGATGATGCCCGTCACTACCTGGAGGCCCCTGAGCGCATGTTAAGACCAGAGGAAGACTCTCAGTGTGATATCGTTCCATACTGGCATCCCGCACTTCGCAACAGTGCTCGAGCTTACAAGGACCTCGTTCGGCATCTTCATAAGATTGGTTACCTGGACTTTACGTTGGAACCTAAAGAGAGAGCCGGTACATTTTTCGTAAATAAGGCCAATGGTAAGATCCGCTTGATCATTGACGGGCGGCGAGCCAACGCACGGTTACGGGAACCGCCTGGTGTCAGTCTGGCCACGGCCGAAGCTTTCGCCAGGTTCGAGATGGAAGACTGCTCAGATCAGGATCCGGTCATTTCAGTGGGCCTCTCAGATGTCAAAGATTGTTTCCACAGGATGGCTCAACCCCGGTGGCTTCGAGAGTATTTCGCATTAGATCCGATTCCTGCTTGCTGGGTGGGACTGCAAGGCACTTCTCTCGGAGGCATCACCCTTGCCCGCGACGACTTGATATATCCTATGCCTGCTCCTTTGTGTATGGGATGTTCCTGGTCTCTGTTCTTTGCACAGAAAGCTAACCAACACATCATGAGTTCGGTTCCTGCCCTCAAGGGCTCAAGGTCATTTTCGGATCGTTCAGAGCCCGTCGTCTTCAACTCCAAGGACGAACAGGCCGGCTCCTCTTATCACTTTGTCTATGTTGACAACCTCGGAATCCTCTCGGAGACTCGCCAGCATGTCGACACTGCCATTGTACAGGTAACCGAGGCGTTCCACGCGACACAGCTCTTGCTGCACCCGGGCGAGGTCAAGGACTCAGCGATAGATTCCCTCGGCTGTCGTTTGGAGGGCAAGAAACACAGTACCCGCCTGAAGCCGGCCAGCCTCCACCGAGTTCGCCAGGCGACCCTGGCGATTCTCAACCGTGGTAGGTGCACGGGGCAGGTCATGGAAGTTGTAGTGGGTCACCTCACCCACTCCTTCCTCATCGCGAGGCCTCTCATGGCGATTTTCGACCACTGCTACCGCTTCATACGTAGACACTACACAGAGAAGGCAAAGCTTTGGGTCAGTGTTCAGGATGAACTTCGAGCCGCTTTGGGTGGAATATGGTGGAATCATCTTTTGCCAGGCCGACTGGAAGAGACAGTGGAACACAGTGGTGTCAAGCTCAGATGCAAGCCTCTCTGGTTTTGGTGTCTGCACGTCAACTTGGCCGCTCACTTGGGTTCAACAGGTCGGGCGTATGCCCGAACGGGAAAGATTCAGGCGCTCAGCAGGGCACTCGGCAAGAGAGTCAGCTTTGGAAAGTCACTTCATCGACGGTGACTTTGAGGATTGGAGTGAGTCCCTGCGAGACTCCGGATGGAAGCTTGACGACAAGTTCCCTGAGGTCCCGTCTCCTTTGCTGGATTCCCATCGCTGGAGCACGAAGCTGATGGGGACATGGCATCATTCGGAGGGTATCTTTGAACTCGAAAGCTTGGCGCTTCTCAAATCGCTCGTCAGAATTGCGAAGGGCAGATTCGGTAGGGATACCCGACAACTGTTGTTGGTGGACAACATGGCGGTTGCCCTAGCCTTTAGCAGAGCACGATCTCGCAACACACGTGTTCTTAGAATTATTCGGAGATTCAATGCCTGGTGCCTCGGTAGAAATATTGCAGCTTCCATCCGATGGATACCCTCGGAGCTCAACAGTGCTGACGCTCCCTCCAGATATGCGGATGGGGGTCCGAAAGCGCACTCTCAGCCCTCCGAGCACATCAAAGAGACAGCGAGCGCACAAGACCAGGACACTTCAGGGTCACACGGTCCCCGCTTCGACACGGAAAGATCGAGTCCTTCACGAAGGAGACCTTCGAGCCGCGCTAGTCACAGCGAGGGGCGTGAGCGCGGATCTCTCCACCGAGAGCGCCTTTTTGAAGGTCAAGCCGGCCCGCAAAGCATCAGAGAAGAGCTCATCGTCGAGCACGACCGATCCCGAAGAAGAGCCCAAGCCTACAGCCAAGGTCCAGAAGAAACGCGTTCTCAAAGCCCGCGTCAAGCGCAGGCTCAGGAAGTATCTCGACCAGGCCTTCGAAGCCGTTCAGAGAGGGTCCACTCTGTTGGAGGACCAGGCCATCACCAAGCGAGTGCAGCGTTACTATCAGGCTGAGCTGAACCTCCTTCACGACTTCGTGAAACGACAAGGGCTTCCTTTCCACACCGACGCACAGGTAGATGGGGCGATCGTCAAGTACCTGAATACATGTTTTTGGCAGGGTCACCAGGCTCACAGAGGGGAGAAACTGCTAGCGTCATTCATGCACTCGAACCCTTCGTTTGGCAGACTAGGGAGTCGCAAGCTACCAAGAAGCTGGAGGGCGCTGAAGGGATGGAGAAGGTTGTGTCCATCTCACAGTCGCCGACCCTGGCCACTCGCAGTTTGGTGTGTCATCGCCTGCGAACTCCGGCGCATGGGACGTACACGCATGGCGGTCTACACCATGGTCGCCCTCAGCACCTACGCACGCCCATCCGAGCTTCTCCGATGTACAACGTACGCACTCGTCCCTCCAGTGAGGTCAGCTACAGCCGAGTGGACCCTGCTTTTGTCACCCGAGCACCTCGAACAACCGGGAAAAACAGGCGAATACGACCTGTCCATCGCCCTCGACTCCTCGTGCTTGAAACCCTGGTGCCTCTCAGTGTTCGGACTTCGCCTACCGCGCCATTATATATTTCGGCTACGGCGACTACGTCAAGGCCTTCAGCCTTGCGGCGCAAGGGTTGGGCGTGCAGCTGTCGCCATACCAGATGCGTCACTCCGGGCCCAGCATCGATCGAGCCAACGGGTGGCGCACGCCCCTGGAGATTCAGAAGAGAGGAGGCTGGAAAAGTGCGAAGTCTGTGATGCGCTACGAGAAGTCAGGCAAGCTGGGCGCCGCCTTCCTGGACCTATCCTCCAAGATGCGCCAACATGCGCAGTGGTGCGAAGAACATCTAGGGGATGTCATCCTCGGTCGAAAGGCGGCTCCGCCACTGGCGTGAGCAAGCACTGCAATTTCCTGCATTTTTTCTCTGGCAACGGCAGGTTCAGCCAGGGCTTGCGGGCATTGGGCTTTAGATCTTACGAGGTTGATATGAAGCACGGTGCACGCTTCGACTTGACAGACGAAGTCGTGCTCCACAAGTTTTTGGTAAGCATACAGCGCCTTGAGGTCCTCGGAGCTGTTTTTGCTCCGCCTATGGCCTCTTTTTCAGTTGCAAAAGACCGCACAGCTGTCGTCAGGAACCGTGCCTACCCGTGGGGGTTGCCCGTTTCCACAATGACTGCAGCAGACCAGCAGCGCGTCCTTTTCGGCAATGCGTGTGAAAATCTGTTTTGCGCCTCGTTCGGGCTCTCGATCGTTATCGGCTCCCGTGGTGCGTTGTACACCCTCTCAGCAGCAAGCGGTGGCTTCTTCCGCCTTTTGACAGTCTTGCTGATATGCCACACGTCCACTCGCAGGTAGTGGACAGCTGCCAGCTCGGGGCTCAGTGCAAACGGCCTGTCCTCGTCCTGTCTGGCAACCTCGACTCAGGATTTGGAGCGGCTTTCACCGCTCCGCTGTCGAGATTCTCAAGGCGTTTGCAGTCGCACGCAAAAGCGACACCAACAGTGGTCAAGCACCTCAACGAACCCGCCCTACCCTGCCCAGCTTTGTCATCATCTTGCTTACGTCTTAGCTGCGCCGTACCTGACCACTGATCCCTCAACATTGTGGCTGCCATCCGCGTAGGCTGCTGCCTTGGGGATGCTTTGGGGAATGTGATCCTCGCCCTGCTCGATGCCGCTACTGGGGAGCGCTACGGTGGCTATCAGGCTTCCTCGAGCTCCCATTGCGGACTCATTCGGCAAGGGCACATGTGAGCTGTTGCTTGTATCACCTCTTGTCTTTTCACGCCATGACCATGCCAAAGACTTCGAGAGTGCATCCGTCTCAAAACGGAAGCATCCAGCGGCAAGTATATATACATATATATATATATATATATATATATATCGAAAGGCCAGGCGCAGAACTGGCATTGCTGCCTCGGCATATGATGCGGGGCAGGTCCTTCTCTTCGGCAATCCCACCATCCCCATAGGGGTTAGGGCCGCCCTCTTCCAGACCGCCATCACAGCCACGTACTTCAATTTGGGCCTGTGGCTACCCAGAGGCAAAGCGTGGCAACTTCTGGCAGGTGGCTTTACGCGCACCCTCAAAAAGCTCCTGGCAAAGCAGTTCCCGGGCGAGACCTACTACAGGATTGCCGCACCGGCGGTTCATGTTTTGACTGGCACCCCGGAGCTTGAGGTCTTTGCCAAGAGGGCACGGCTCAGCCTTGTGGCTTCCATGTGCCGCTCTGTGCCCCCTTTGCTTTGGGCTGTCCTGCAGCAGGACCAGGAGTGGCTAGAGTGGGTCAGAGGGGACCTACAATGGCTGGCCGCGACTGAGGGTGTATGGCCAGCTCTGTCGGCCTACGACTGGCCCCAATGGCATCACCTGTTTGTGGATGCGCTGCCGTGGGTCAAACGCCAGATCAAGAAGCGCGTGGAGGGCGACTACAAGAGCTTCTGTGAGACGCAGATGGAGAACCTGGCGCTGTGGGGCCTGTACAAGAGGACGTGCGAGGTCCACCCGCAGGCATGTGAGGCTACCATGCCGTGGACGTGCCGTATGTGCTCTACGGCGGTCCGGACCAAGGCAGCGCTGGGGGCGCATTTCTTCAAGGTCCATGGCAGGAAAGCAGAGTATCGTCGGTACGCTGGCGGTACAAAGTGCCGCGCCTGTGGGCGCAACTTCTGGGCCCGCACCAAGCTGGCGATTCATCTACGTGACACGCCTTCATGTGTCGCGGCGCTCGCGAACATGGGGGTTCCAGCGGAAGCCTTTGTACATGGCCTTGGGAGCAAAGGATGGCGAAAGGCCGCTGAAGAGGACTTCACCCAGGCGGCCCCTGAACAGGAGGAACTACATGCCCCAAGTTCAGTGGCTCCCCGATGGGCGACGGTGGCTGCTATGGCCTACAGTGCCGTATGTGACGCGCTCAACGTGCCTACGAAGATTGAGACCGTTGCTGGCTTCAAGTCGGTTGTGATGGAGGTGTTCCACCACTATCCGCTCTACTACCATGAGGCGGTCGAGATCCTTGCAGCGGTCAGAGCGGATGTGGAGCTGCTCTGTTCCTCCGACTGCAACGAGTACTGGACAACAACGGGGGCGATGTGCCTATTAGAGGCTCTTGCCTCTATTGGCCCTGATGATTGGACGGCTGGGATCACCCTCGATCAGGACCGGGGCGACCCTCAGTGACTTCCAGCAGAGCGTCGAGAGCATGGATTGGACGTCCCTTGGGATTGTCCGTGCAAAGGAGCACGAGACCCGCGAAGGCATCTTGTTCGTCCTGGACGGTGGCTGGGAAGCTGCATGGCGCCGGTCCAGTGAGATGCTGCAGTGTGCAGCCGTGCACGGAAATTACGTGCAGCTATGGCCGCAACCGCTGAAGGAGGCATGGGAGGTGATCCTGGAAGGATGTATTCCCCGCGTACAGGCCCCTGATAGCTTTTGGCGACACCGGCTCGCACGGCCATTCCTCCAATGTGGGGTAACCATTGCAACTAATTAGGCTGCGTACCGACCTCTGAAAGCCTGGAAAGGAAATATATATCGAACAGATTGTGTATTGTCTTTTCTTTAGCAAACTAATTCATTCCACAGCAGCCATAGCAGACAGTTGCTAGGATACAAACCAATTAATACCCTCATCCCTTGCCATCCTACGTCCTCCAGTTTACAGGATAGTGCTCTAGACATATATGTGTTGTGTGATCTCACACACACACACAGCTGTACGCAGTTGGGTGGGTGGATGGGTATGTGTATATATATAATATAATATAATATATATATATATATATAATATATATATATATATAAATACACCGTTGCCGAGAGTAAGTATTAATCATATAAGAACTATAGATGGACCTCGAGATAGAGAGGGGCATCGACAAACGTGCCAGCAAGTTGTTGTCCGTCCGAACAACCACACTCCAAGGCTGTGTTTTTGTTGGCACGAATATGTCTTCAGGAACCATTAATATAAGACTGATTAAGAGTACACTGATTAGTATATACACCGTATGCTGTCCTGCAGAGCAGTTAACTCAAGCTTGTTCTTGGCTATCACGACTTCATACCAGATACACGTAGCAAGTATAGACAGTGTGCATACAACAGCACAGGCCTACAGAGGTAACGAGTCAATATGGTCGACAACTCACATTGTCTATTACTTCAGTCTTAAGAACTCAAGAA